CAACTGAAAAACAGGGAACAGCCAGCACTGCAGCCATGTAGATGTACCCTGTGGGTATCAACATGTTTCAGGGTAGAGCTTTGTCACTAGTCTAAAAGTCTATGCAGGTGAAACACTGAAGAACCAGGCCAACGTTAAGCAAAGATGATGCCTGTTTAACAGTTATGCCTTACATTTGCTCTTTTGAATTGAGAGCTTCATAGAAACATGACTGACGTAGTTTTTAAACCTTAACAATCTCTGGGATTCCAAGAGCTGACATTTTATTGAAAAGAGCAGAAATCTTTTCAGATAAAATGTTTGAAGCCAAGCTATTAAATATGCTGTGTATAACAGCTGCCTTTATTTATTCATAAATACAGCACAAACATCTTCCTTGTCAAAGGAGAGGATTTTCTTTTACTATAAAAAGATAATTAATTCAGGATGGATAAATTTAATGGTGTATTTGCCATCTGGGCAGAGAAAACAAAACACCAGAATAGAATTTTGTGAAGAAGTAATATTTAAAATATGAACCAAAAATACATGCTTAAACTTTATTTTGATCTCTTGAATAACAAATAATTTTCTACCCCAAGTGTTATGGTCATGCTTATTTAAAAAGAAATACAAGAGGCAATAGGGCATTTATATGGACACAGGTAATTTAGACAAGATAGAAGGTAGTTTCTTCTTCTTTTTTTTAAAAATTACACATCAGCAACAAAACTACAATATTTCCAAGAATCTGCTTCTCACCATATCTATGCCCAAGGGAGGCAAACAGTCTCACCAAATAAAATATCATAGATAAAAAAAAATGCTTTGTGTATATAGGACTGTGTTTACTATCAACTTGATGCATCCTCAGAGGGGAAAGCATACAGACACATTGGGGGCTTTTACTTTATTAATTCAACTCAGGAAACAGAACTTGGCCAATGACCAGTACTCTTTAAAACCCATGAAAACGATGATGCTTGTGTTGTGGAACCATCACGTTACTTACATCATCTCTCCTGTGGAACCACCACAGCACTGACATCCTCACCCCTCCTCTGGGCTCTTTGGTGACATGAATTTAGAGATGTTTCTTCTTTCTCTGCCTCTCCTTAAATGCTCCAGCATTCATTCATTCTGAGCTTTTATCTTGATACAATGATGGTACATGCTGTTGACTGTGCTTCAGAGGAATTCTCTCTCTACCGAGTCACATTTTCCCTCGTCCCACTTTTTCTTTTAAGTGTGCCCGGTTGCCACGCTGCAAGAATTAGTCATGGTCTTGAGCCTTCCTATACACCACTTACCTTGATGAGAAATAACTTGCTTCCCTTACATCTGTCAGTTCCCACTGAAGAGTGATTTAGTAAATCCTCTTTTCAAGAAGCCTTTCCTGTGGCAAAATTTTGACCACAGACCTATTCTGACTCTGCAATGCTTCCCATACACAGGAATCTTGCTGACTTCAGGCTCTCAATCCCTACGTGCTGCTGACAGTGATTAGCTACTTGATGAAAATGTTCTCCATTAAGTGTTTCAAGGAATTCATTAAATGATTGCAGTAATGAAACTCATGGAAGATGATGAATTTTAGTGAACCCGAGATCTAACGGTGAGGAGATTATGACATCAAGGCTTCCTTTCTACATAGAAAGCATACCTATAATGTGTCTTTGCTGTGTGCCACAATATAAATCATGTTTTTTAAAGGAATTATAGCAAAATCCTTATTGCAACCAGTTAATATTGATCTACCATGTTTTCCTTTCAGTCTTTCTTCCATCTTGGCCATTCTGGATTTTCTTTTGCTCTAGGAACACCCCACTGTCCTTCCTGACTGAAGGGTTAGCAATCACTCTTTTTGCTGCTCAGATAATTTCTGATCATTTACAGGTAAGCTCATCTATCACTTTCTCCAAGAGATGCTCTCTTCAATGAAAACTTTGAACTAATTTGATACTCCCTAATGCCCTCATAGAATGATGCAATCAATAATCACTCAGTTGAAGGATTTGATAATACGACTCTCCGCTGGACTTCAAATTCATGAGTGCTGAGACTACAGCCCTCTCTTGGAATATTCACACAGAGTGGCTCTTCAGTGCAGGGTCCAATATGATTGAATAGTGAATCCATAATGAAAAAAGTGTTAACAACAATGAAACTCAAGGACTTGGACAGTGATACTGTATTCTATGACAATATTCCAAAGGACTGACACTCTTTGCAAAACCTAAATGCAGAATTTTCTAGTATACGTTGGTGTCACAAGTGTCTCTTGAGTTCCCCGCATTTTCAAAATCCGGGCTTGAAGTAGTAAAATATAGGCTAGTGGCATGGCTCGCTTGTTTAATTTTTCCCCTATGTCATGTCAGGTAGAGTGCACAGTTATGATCAGGGAATTATTCATACAGCCAAACATCTTGCAAAAGTACATTCCATACTGAGAACACAATTCAGTTAGTGGATATATTCAGAAATATTGAACCAAATCTATATAGAAATGGGATATTTTCTCTGGGAAAAATACACATTGCATGCACATGTTAAGTATGACTTGCCTGTGAGTGCAGATGGCTTACACTGGGCCTGATGCAGCACAGGAGAAGAAGCCAGAATGCATTTTCTAGGATTTCATGTTGCACAGGGACAGAGAGGAGGCAACAATCACATTACTTGATTTTCTTTTTGTGTATATTGATTTGATTTTATGATTGATTGAATTTGATGGCCATAAACTACACCATCAAAACATATAAGCTCCTCTTTACAACTACAACAACAGCAAAACAAAATAATTCTGTTGATTCACTCATTTAAGATAAAGAGTGAGATTACATAAAACCAGACTTGTAATTGGGTTATAAAATTCTCTTGGTTCACAAATTATTAGTTCAGCTTGTATTTTCATCCCCTAATTCCTAGTCTTTTTTGTTTATTGCCAGAGAGTATGCAGATAACACTCTCTCATACGTCTTTTCTTGGCTTGAATTAAAGAAAAGGCAATAATGTGGTTCACTAATATGATGTTGAACTATCAATCAAATTTTACGAGACTTTACTGTTTGAGGTTAGATATATGATTTTGTGCTTCTCTCACTACATGTATTATATGGCAAATATTTTCAGCATTTAAGGCAGTAGATAAGCTACAGCACAGTATGCTATGGTAAATAACATTAGCCTGGTCAACAGAGGATTGCAAGAAGCATAGACTTTGAATTATAAATGAAGGACTGATTTTGCTAAGAGTATTAAAAACAAAATTTAGGTTGTTGTCCATGATTACTTGATTTGTATGTTAACTGAAAAAGTTTTTTGAGATTGCACACCTAAGTCTTGAGTTTCCTGAATCAATTGTTTTGACCCAGATTATGGAACATTTCAGATAGAATCTAATTTTGAACATATGAACCTACCTATTTTTTTAAACCTTCATGTATTTACATAATCCAAGGGACCAATTATTCTTTATGAAATATTATTAGTAATATGACTAGTATCTTTATTTTCCTTACTTCTTCCTAAGGAACACTGGAGTGGGACCAATTTTTCTCCAAGAATTAGATTAGAACCTTAGAATTTAAAGTGATGCAGTCTTCCTACTTTCTAGCATTAGAAAATCTAGAAAGCTGACTCATTTCAGAATGAAAAATGAAATGCATAAAATGAAAAGGGTAAGAATTTTTTTAAAAATCCATGAACAATTCATTTTTAAAAATTGTGTGTGTGTGTGTGTGTGTGTGTGTGTGTGTGTGTAGTGCATGCATGTTTGTGCACTGTGCATACCTGTGTGCACACAGGCAGAGACCAGAAGAGGACAATGGGCCATGGGTCCCCTGCCCTATCGTGCTCCCATTACTCCCTTGAGACAGTATCTGTCATTGAACTTGGATCTGGGCTGGGGGCAAGTCATAGGATCCTCTTGTTTCGACCCCTACAGTGCTGAGGTTACAAGCAGGCAAGGTCACACACAGCTTTTTCTTGGATGCTGGGGATCCAAACGCAGGTCCTCAGGTTGTGCATTATGTGCTTTTTTTCCTTTATTTTTTCTTTTCCACTGATTCATTTTCTTAGCCCTTATGAACAATTATACATTTTTCAGGCAAAACTAAGTCCACAAATCAGCATGGTCTTTATTCTACAAGCCTGGCATTAATTGTGAGAATAAGCTGAGCGGAGTGGTTCACGTCTTTAATCCCAGCACTCCAGAGGCAGTGGCTAGCAAATCTTTGTGCAATCAAGGCCAGCCTGGTCTCCTTAGTGAGTTCCAGGCCAGCTATGTCTCAAAAAGACAAAAGCCAAACAAATAATGAGACTAAAATAGCCCTATTTAGGAAAATATGAAATATTATCATTGCAATCAGTTTTGTGTACACTCTTGTACCTTTTACAGAAGATTTATCATTGTCACCATCCTTTAAGATTTATCAGTACACATTATATGGCAGATACTGCAATGTATTTTATATCAAGTACTTTATTTGTTGTCAGTAGCTTAGTTGCCAATAATTAAATTGCAGAGCAAAGCACAGCTTCCCTGCACAGCTCATCTTGGTACCTGGTCCTTTCTCTGGGTGCTGTGCAGAATAGGATTGTCAATGAGGCAGGTAGCCAGTGTCAAGAGAAGGCCAGCAGAGCTGTTAATATGCCCTACATTTGCTATGCAGTTTGCCCATCACCCTCCAACACAAGAGGTAAAAATAAAGGTCTGGAGAGATGGCTCATTTGGCAAAGTGCTTGCCACACAAACATGAGAACCTCGGTGTGGAGTCACGTACAACTGGAAAGGTGTTGGAGATAGCAGGATACCTGGGCTTTGCTGGTCAATGAGGCTAGCTGAATCAGTGTGGTTCAGGGAGACACAGTGCCTCATAAACAGAAAATAACAAAAGCAACATAATAACAATAACAGAAGCAAGGTAGAGTGATGAATTAGGATACCTGCACCAGAACATACAAACAGGTATCAAATACTCTCAAACACAACTTAATAAAAAGGCAAACTACCAGTGCAATTTCAATTGATAAAACACATGTGCAATTTTATTCAACATTTTCTGTTATATTAAAAATATGTACAATTTCAATAATAAATTAAAAATAAGCAAAATGAGTCTAAAAAAAGACGTTTTACTCCCTTCATTTCTGAGAGTTCATCCGATCTGAGCGCCTAGTCAGCTCCTGGCTAGAAAAACGTTTTGGCAGCATGTCGGAAACAACGGACAGAGCTTTGTTTCTTTAAACATCAGGAAGATGTTTGTTGATAATAGAAACACGGAAGAGGATCAACTGCAATCAAGAAGGGTGGATGAACATTTGTACAATACGCACAAAACTCTGAATAAATTCTGTAATGTTTTTTTCTTCCAGTTCCTCACATTCTTTGCATCCAGATTCTGTTATATTCTGCCAAATAAGAAGAAAGAATTAGACTGGCAAGCAGACTATATCACTTTCTTGTGAATATCACATTATTTGAAATATATGGTGGGATCTTAAGACATGAAAATGTTGGCAAATTAATATCATATTACGAAAAACTCTGAGAAACAATGGAGAGATTTGACAGGAGTTGATTTTCCTACATTGGATTAAGACAACTGTAAATGTACACACCATGTATATTAGACATGGACTTCCTGCTTAAAGCCTTTCAGTGAGTTCTTATCATCTTGTAATGAAGTCCACACTTCCCTGCATGGCAATGGCCTCTGCAAGATGCTCCTTGTCTGTTTTACCCTTCCCCTTGTCTTGAAAGTCATGCTCTGAAGACACTAATCAAACAATTGCTTTCTGTCCCAGGTACACAACATGCTGTTGGGTGTCCCCTGCCTTTGGTTTTCTCCTGTCTATGATATTCACCCTATGTTAACTGTTGTTACGCACAAGTCAGATCATCCTGATGTGGTTTTTTGAAATAGTTTCCTAGAAGCCCTGAGCTCTTGGGGGCAAGGCTCAACGTCCCATCTCCACAGTCCGGAACTCCTGTTTAAACCTCGTGTACCATCTTCATATCATGGAGTTTTAGTCTTTTTACCATGCTATTGTTTAAGCTTCCCCAAGAATCATGACCATATGTGTTTTTTTCCCAGTATTAATCACAAGGCCTGGCACACAACAGCCACCTAAAGCACAGTGGTTGATATGAACCATTCAGGTGAATACCGTAAGTGCTATAACTCAAACATAGCTTCATGGACAACTATAGCATTCCAGCAGCAATCATGAATAAATGTTTTGGTGATCATATGAACTCTGAAAGCTGTGCCAACAAAAATTGAAATTATATTTTACATCCGTTAAGCACTTGGAATTCAGATCCACCAACACTGACATACTGTATGCCAACTACTTTCATATTGCATATACTGCTGTCCTGCATGATCCAGAGAACAAACACATCAGAGAGAAAGGCAAAGATATTAAGTGATGCATCCCCATTGACAGAGTCAAGTAGAATTCCTCAAGTCCAGGTCTCCTGACTGTATAGTTTTGCTCACTTGTTCCAGGGAATGCCAAACTGTCACCTCGGGGTGGCATCAACATGCAGTTTAAATAACACCGACATTGTCATGAGCTTCCTGTTGCATTTTTCTCCATTGGTAATGTAGCAATAATATATCAAGAAGTAATTAACCATGAACAGGCTTACTTCATAAGTGTATTGAGTGATGAATACATGTGAGAAGAATACTTACATAGAATTGTAATAAAACATTCGAAAGGACCCTAAAATGTCTATGCTTTAGGCTGACAATCTAATGAGGACAATAGATAATGACCACTAAGTAAAATATATAATTATCAGAATGTTGATAAAGTTCCTGTGCATCCACGTTGTTTCACCCATTAATCTTTTTTGCTATTCAAGGCATGAATCTTGGCTCTTCAGGGCTTCTGTGCAGCTCATCCCCCAGCTAATCACGGGAGCCATTAGTATTTGTTTTCTTGCAACTTTGTAGATCAAGCTACTTGGGATGTTCCAAATTACACTCCAATCATTAATGCTTTTTATTATCTTATTCCATTGATAAAACTTTTTAGGAGTTAAGGGAACAGAAGCTGTATTACATCAACAGCTCTTAGTTACTAATCACACAAATTATACAAATTGGAGCAGGTGATTAGCTCTCAGTGCTACAGGTTCTTCGGCATTTAAATAGAATTAAAGATCACTAAATGTAAAAAAAAGAAAGTGAACATCTCAATGATTTATCTTTAAAATAAAGAGGCTTGTCAGTTTTATCAATCTAAAGCCTAGAGAACTGTGTGTGGCACACAGTACTAACTCAATAAATGTGAGTTACCGTTTCTGACAGTAAACACTCATTAGATTAATGTCTACACACTGCATCTGCTTGCCTGGTTTTCCAGTATGACTCTAGAACTAAACCACACTGGCTGGTGCTATTCAGCAAATGTCTATTTACCAGATAAATCAATGAATGGTTTAGGATTACGTGCATGCCAGCTATGGTGACATTTTGGATGTCACTGCACTGGAATTAAATTCTCTCCTAAGTGCACCATAGGAGGACCTGCTTCTGTACAAATTAGTTTTCCCAAGCCAGCCAAAAGCATCAGATGCTGCTCAGTAGAATTATTGGATCACTCACCCCATTAGAAGACAGACTGCTGTTTGCTAGGATGATCATATTTCTTACTGTTTCATTAATGTATACATCACTGGACTCATGTAAAATAACTCGTAGCTCCAGGAGAAAGCACTTCATCGTTGTTACTTTGCAACTGGGCTAAAAATAAGAATTACAAAGAAACAATTTGGAAGGAAGAAAGGTTTTCCCATTATTCATTTTCATGTAGATATGATTTTGATTTTTAAAACATCTATCTAATCCAGTTATTTTATAAAGAAAAATGATACCTGTGTTGGTCAGTTTTAACTGTCACCTTGATACAACCTTGAATCACCTGGGAAGAGGGTTTTGATAAGGAATTATCTAAAACAGAATGGTCCATAAGCATGTCTATGGGGGGATTGCTTTGATGGTTCATTGATATAGGAAGATGCAGCCCGCTATAGGTCGCACTATTCTCTGGGAAATGGTCCTGAACAGTAGAAGAGAGGAGAGAGCTAGCTGAGATGCAGCAAGCAAGGGAGGATCTGTGCATTTATTCTCTCTCTGCTCTTGACTGTGGTTGCAGTGCTTTAAGTTCCTGTCATGAGTTCCCTGCAATAATGGATTATAACCTGGGCCTGTAAGCCAAATAAACCCTTTCTTCCCAAGTTACTTTTTGTAGGAATATTTTTCATAGCCACAGAAATGAAACCAGGACAATATCCCTAAAGAATTTTATTCACATAGGAAGCAGATTTCCTTTTTGTTTGGTTTTGAAATAAAAAATAAAACCTATAACAAATCAAGATGGTACTGTTTTCCAGATGAAAGAAGATAAAATTAGGAAACATGGACATAAAGGGCTACTGTTTCTCACTGAGCTGCTTTCTCTTGTGAAGTGGTGATATAGCAGTCCCATGCTCTGACAACCTCAGTAGTGACAGAGCATTTGTAAAAATATTTAGGATCAGGTTACATGTTCACAATTTACATAGTGATAACTGACAACCTTACCAAGTGCACAGGTTTAGAATGTCTAGAGGCAGTGACCACTCATGGACTGGCCAAATCACAAAGAAATCGCCAAAAAGGAATTATTTTTTTACAACAGTTATTTCACAAAAACAAAAACTTAAAAGAAATAAAATATTATTTGACTTTGGATCTCGCACCTAGTGTCTAGGTCTCTGCATGTACTTAAATGCTCACTAAAATCTAACTGGAAGAGTACTCATTTGTAGTGGTGCCATAGTAACTCAACACTGAAAGCCAGATCCTTGCACCAATTTAGCAACAGTAAAAAAAGTTTCCAAAATGCTTGCTGACTTCTGAGACACCACAGATAGGAAATGCCTGAATCTAAAGTGGTCACTTCTATATCTGAATCTTGGGTTCTTTCAACACCCCTTAAGTTGCAAGGCTATCCTCGTGAAGAAAAGCAAAATTAAGATGCTGAATGGTGGTGGTTCATTCATTGTTTTTTGCTTAGATTAAAATAAAAATAAAACTTATGCTGAAGTCATGGAGACATCTGCTCCACACTGTAGCGGCTCCACCCAAGTGATTGATGAATATCTGGTTTTAGAGTTTCAGGCTCTGGCTTTTATATAATGCTTATAAGTATGTCCAGGGGGAAACAAACCTTCCCCTTCAGAGATATTCTAGCTGACACTCTATTGAAAAGACAATACAGAGTTTGATTACTGGTCTCATTTCTTTTGCCCTGATAATTATACTGACACAAAGTAACTTGTGTGTGTGGTTAGGGGGTGGGGTATTTTAGCTCACATTCTAGGTCACAGTTCATCATAGCAGGGAAGTCAGGGCAGCAGGAACTTATCACAGCCAGTCACACCAGAGTCAAGAGCAGAGAAAAATGGATACATGCATGCCTAGTGCTCAGCTAGTTTTGTGTACTCCTACACAGGCCAGGGCCCAATCCATGGAATGGTGCTGCCTACATTCAGGGTGGGTCTTCCTGCCTCAGGTAACCCAGTTAAGAACAATTTCTCACAAGAATGCTAACAGGCCCACCTAATCTAGGCAATCCCTCATTGAAACTCTTGCTAGGTGATTTTTCAATTGTGGCAAGTCAAAAAATAAAACAAGCCATCACATTTTCCATATAGTGGAATTGAGGATTCATCTCTTGGTTTTAGTGGGAGTCCAAAGGGAAAGGAGGAACAACATGACCCAAACCCTATTAGTGATCAGCAGTGTCAGTGTATTAATGAAACTAGTTTGTCATTTTGAATAAGTTGTACAGATTATGTTTTTATTTCATATAGTGATTATCAAGAATGTTTTCCTGATAAATATAGGGATCCACGTGAAATATAAAACATAGATACCCCTAAGCAATTTTCAGAAAATGTGGTAAGACATAGTAATATGCCACAGGACTGGGAATAATGGATTTGGTGGAGACTTTTAGACTGAATCACTTAACCTGATTCTAGCATCTAATTGTATCACAATCTGTCTCACCAAATCATATAAGAGATATTGTTGGGCATTGATGGAAAAGATCTTTTTTCTATTATTGACACTCTTACAAAAGCACCATTTATGTACCTCTTTGTCCCAGGGTTCCATAAATTCAATGATCACTTAAAACTGCACTGGTAAAATATTAGAAGAATCCATTATAGGTAGACTATAAAATTCTACCAATTTAGTTAAGTTAGAGCAAAAAGTTTATACTCACATGAAAATCACTCTCAGTGTATAAAGTAGCATCAATGTGGATAGACTGAAAGAAGAAAAGTTAGATAAGATGAAAAGCTATGCACTTCCTGGGGTATGATAACAACAACTTACTGAAAATGCTTCAATTAAGCTATTTAAATTAATTTTTTATTTTGCAACAATTTTAAATTCATGCAATTATAAGAGAAGATATAGAGAGATCCTCTGTGTCCCTCCCAATTTTCTCCATTGCCATACTTTATAACCATAAAACAATACTACGACAAGGAAATTGATGCTGATATATCTCCCTTTTCCAAGTGTTACCAGTTTTATATGCAATAGTGTACGTGTGTGAATGTATGTGAGTTTATGCAATTTTGTGTCCTATTGCCACAGATCACTACTGTGGGAATGACTTTAATGGAAAAGACTCTTTGTAACAAGACTTTACAAAGTGAAATTTTATATAACCTTGTAAACCAGTATGTTCTGAGAACATTTAAAACTATGTAAATCCTCTAAGAAAACAATGTAATCAGCTTTACAATGATTTGAAATTCCAATGTAACTAACTCTTGCAAGCTAAGTGGAAGGTATAGCTTTAAAATCTTATACCACATTCCCTATATATGACTCAGTTATGTCCCTGACTCAGAACAATTTGTATGTGAGATGTGACAGTGATGTCATTGTAAACAATGATGACTTTACAAATAAAGTCATCACCCCTACAGATGTTGCAAGCAACATGGGGGTATAGGTTAATTACCTCTATTTGTGGCTTGTGTGCTATTCTCAGTCAGTAGGGTTATAAAACAACATCTTCTTTTGTGAAACTGTTATCAAAGATTGTTCATATTATGCTTGATATGCTGTTCAATACATAAGTGAGGAACACTTTTGGAGTAGCAGTGTGGTTGGATGAGAGTAGAAAGGGTTGAAACTAGAATAGAATAGAATAGAATAGAATGAACAGAATAGAATGAATAGAATAAGAATAGATAGAATAGAATAGAAAGAATAGAATAAAGAATGGAATAACAGAATAAAAAAGAAATAATAGAATAGTGGCTGGATACTCTGGTATCCTGCTTGGCCCTCCTTTAATGAATGAGCACACTCTTCTCAGACAACTGTATGTAATTTGCCCTAACCACACATGACCTTCTGGATGTGGGAGGGCTAAAGTATACAATCGGGGAAAGCTAGGAAGAGAAGGCATGACCCATGCTGAGTAAAGGCTTTCCAGTGTGCATACCCTCAGGTCATACATACACCTCAGCAACCCCTCAGTTACCTGAGTAAGTAAGCCCAGTAAATTCATTGGTTCCCCAGCAAAACTACCTTGACACTAGAACCTTAAAAGTGAATAAGCATGGCTTAGCATCCCCAGGAAAAAGTCTCACAACAGATGGAAAATTGATTTGTTAATGCTATTATGTCTCATAATTATTTTTAAAAAAGAAAATGAGAATAGATGTTAAAAGGATATGGGAATGGAGATATTTTCCAAAATAGACAGAAAAAATGAGAAAGGCTGAACAAGTGATGAAGGTCTGTGTAGGTTTGTTGTGCTATATAAAGGATGAGACAAAAATAATATTAAAATTTCTATGGTCATAGTTTAGTCAACTAGTTTAAGGAACAAAATATATATCTAGTCAAGGTTTATCTGAGAATATTTGTTTTTTCACCCAAACTTTCTTTACATAGCACATGGTAATTAAAAGTACCAGACTGGTGGAACTAACCTTATTGGATATTCAACAGCCATAGCTTGAGGCCTATACTGATGTGGTCAGAGGGACTTAAAGGACAGTTTTTGCCCCTTGCCCTCCAAGGTCAACTAAGTTCCAGGGGACTACGGAACATCTCTCAAAATGTCCAGTAACTGTGGTGAGTCACCTGTCCTCTTGTTCAAGGAGGAGATGGAGACCCCACGAGATGGACTTGAACCAGTGTCCAGTCTAAAAGAGGATGGTCAACTCAGAGGAAACATCTCATTGATGCTTCCAAGTGAATCCAGACATGGTCGAACAGGACCTTTGACTTATCTTCACATAGATGGAACTGGGCCAACTGTATGTTTTTAACCACCCCAAAGGAAAGTATAACTAAAGAATAAAGTCATCAGTATATTTCTTTAAGAGTTCAAGGGATTACACTTCCCAGACATTAGGCTTAAGTCTATATAAAAAGTTATTTAGATGATTATTTCTCATTAATGATTTTGTTCCTAACCAGGAAGTGCTGCTCATATGTAAGACTTCAAATCTTGGTCTCCAATACTGTAGTGCCCACCTGTAGCTAAGGGGGACAACCACCTATTGTTCCAAAATGATGGATAAATTTGTTTTCTCTGCCTATCTAGAAGCCTATGAGAGGGAACTGATACTGATTCTAACCACTCCAACAACTATTAAAATACCTGAAAGCAGTTCCTGAACCCATCACTCTAGAGTCCAGTGTTGTAAGACAAAGAAAAAATGAGGGAGAACACAATAAAAGGATGCTTTTGGAAGCCTTGTTCTGACATTTTTCTAGTTCCCTGTCTGAACTTGTAATGCTAATGTTAATTACTCTTGCCTTTACTTCTCCTTCACATCTCCTATTATTTATGATTCAAGATATTTCTTTTCCCTCTAGAGATAAAATTTATGCAATTTGGGATTCTTTTAGATAGACTCACTGAAGGGGTAAACCAATTGCTTCACCCTGCATCTCTGTTCAGCATAGAAGAAGCCAGAGGAGTCTGTGTCCAGATTCCCTACTGACAATTTGGGTAACCTCCTCACAAGATAGTGTGATAAGAATAGGAGGTAGGAATTGGCTAGGCCATTAGGGTAAAAAGATCCCAAGGAAATGTAGCCACTTTCTATGCTAAAGCTCACAATGTTCTCACAGCTTGCCTCTTAGCAACATGATCCATTCTAAATGCCAAAAATGTCGAAAATATTTGGGAGCTTTTATCTAGTCCTTAAAAGATTTTAGCGTTATCTCTTTAGATGGGGGAATGTTAGAGTAGCGAAAAGCCCATAAAAATAAATAAACCAAAGGAGAAGAAAGAGTACATGAAGTTATTATAAAAAAGTGATGGGGAGATATGGGAGGAGTTGGAGGGGAGGGAGTAGGCATGGATTTAATCAAAACACCTTATATGCATGTATGAAATTCTCAATAAATTATTTATTAAAAAAAGAAAACAAATGCCAAATTGTGGTAATGATATAGACCAAAAGAAAATCTTAAACATTGTTGGTGAAAATGTAAACTAGTCTGACTCCTACGGAAGTTGGTATGCATGTTTTTCCAACATAATATATACACACGTATGAAATTTTAAATGAAATAAATAAATCTAACAGAAAAAAATGAATAATAGAAAAGAAAGAATAGAATAGAATAGAAGAATAGAATAGAATAGAAGAATAGAATAGAATAGAAGAATAGAATAGAATAGAATAGAATAGAATAGAATAGAATAGAAAGAATAACAGAATAGGAAGAATAGCACAGCACAGCACAGCACAGAACAGAACAGAACAGAACAGAATAGATTAGTTCTGTCTAAAAGAATATTTCTTGGAGGATTCAGAACACCTCAGAACAAGATCAGGCCAACACTTGGTTAGATTACTCCAAGAGTAACATTTCTCATTAACTTGACACTGCCACATGCCACCACAATTAGGATCTAAAATATTTCCACCACCTCAGAATTCTCCTGCGTTTCTTTCCTCCCCACACTTCCCCTCACACATCCTTTTAATCACTAGCAACCTCCCCTCCGTTATTCAATCCTATAGTTTTGTCACTTCAGGAATGTTATAGAAATGGAATTACATGGCATATAACATATGGAGATTACCTTTAAAACATAACAGACTCTATTGTGCAGCTGTAGGTTGTAGGGAAAAAATGAGCAGCAAGCAATAGAGTTCTCATTTACCCCTTTACCCCATTTGTTTCCCTGCTTGTTTATATTTTGCATTCATTTCTACATTTGTTATACTTCATAAGTGAATACCACTGCATAGCTCTAGTGTGGGTTTAGTGTCACACCAATGCTTGGTTCCAGGATGGCAATTCGAGGAAGCAGTGGGACCTTTTGTGAAAGAACTTAGCGGAGGGCCATAGATGCACCTTTGAAAGGCATTATGACATTCTCCCCCTTCACTTTTCCTTGGTTTTTTGGTCCAGAAGTGAGCAGTTTGTTCCACCATTGCAACCTGAGACCTAAGAGCAATGGCTGTGTCCAGTTATAGACTAGAATCTTCAGCATCATCAGTCAGAATAAACTTTTTCCCTTTGTAAGTTATCTCAGGTATTTTGATATAGTGATATGAAGCTGATGAGCATACATTGTGAATGACAAAAGTTATAGAATTTTAGGTTTCAGTTTTATTCAGAGTCTTAATAAATGGAAAACGACTTTGTCAACCATTCTAATCCCACACGTTATATGTGCACTATCTTAGAAAGTACCATGTTCTGCTGCTCATCACTCTCTCCCTTGTAACCCCTGCCAATCATCAATCTGCATGTTTGCTTTACAGTTTTGCATTTTCTTTAATGTCAAATTGTTGGATTCAGAGCATAAAACATTTGAAGACTGGATTCTTTAACTCTGCAGTCTGCTTTCACGGTATCTCCATTACTTTCCACAGCTTGACCACCTACTTCTATTGGTCACAAAATAATATTCTATTATATAGATGCATCCAAATGAAGACTGGCTTTTGTCATAAAGCACAATGCCCTGGAGATCTAGCCAAGTTGTTGCTAGCATCATTTTTTTCTTTTTATTGTTCAATAATATTCCTTTCCCTGATATAATAGAGTTTAATTATTCACCTAGTGATGTGTACTTTGTGGTTTGGAGCCATTAAAAGTAAAGCCCTGTGGAAATTCACAGTATGTTTTTTGGATAAAATTGTTTTCATTTCTCAGGAATAAATGTTCAAGATGCACTTATTGGATTCCACAGCAAATTCAAGCTTTATTTTATAAAAAAAATTGCCAAACTGGTTTTTCAGCTGGCTTACCATTTCACTCTCATAAGTGAAGTATCTATGGTCTAGTTTCTCCACTTCCTTGCTAGAATTACTAGCATTTTATACTTATACTCTACTTATTTAGTTATTCATTTTCACAATTACTGTTTCTTGTATTTTGGATTTTGTCATAAGTCCACAGTGATATGTTGTTGTGGTTTTAAAATTCCCATTTTTTTATACTTTCTCTCCAAACAATGTAATGATTCCCAATTTATCTTCACAATAGTCCACATGCTTCTGTTTCTTCCCTCATACTTTCTTCTTGCTTTATTATTTGGTTAAATTTATAATACTACTTTAATAAAAGTGAGTGAGAGAAGACATCTGTGATCTGTTTCAGTTCCTGGAGAAAGCTGGATTTCACTCATTAGCAAGTGTGGTACTTTGAGGTACTTTTGTACATATTTTATGCCAAGGTGGAAAAGGTGCCCTCTCTTCATACCTTGCTGAGAAATTTTATCTTGAACTATGTATTATGCCGTGGTTTGCTATGGCTGCCATAGCATGCTCCTACAAACTAGCTGGTTTAAATAATAGATGCAATTTCAAAATTTCTGCAGGCCAGCAGTCTCAGATGGCTATGTCAGCAATGGTCTCCTGAGACAGTCACTTTACCTTATCAATGCCATCTTCTCCCTGTCTTCTCACATCTCTCCATTTGTAGGTACCTGTATCATGGACTTTTCTTTATAAAAATATTTTTATTTATTCTTTGAGAATTTTATACAATGTATTTTGATCATATTTAACCACCCCCCCCATCTTCATGTCCACCTTACTCTTCCCCCGGCTTCATGTCATCTATTATTTTAATGACCCGTGTCACATTGGATTCAAATCATCCCAACTACTTCACCTTAGCTTAAATAGATCTTTAAAGACATCCTGTCTTAAAATACACTCACATTCTGAAGTACTGGTAGTAAGAATTTTAACGTATGAATTAGGAGTGCATAATTCATCCCATATAAGAGACACACTATATCTTTTTTAAATGAATTAGCATGATCATATGAGTTTCTTCTTTAGGCTGTTGGACAACATTGATCAATTTTCAAATACTGAACAAGATTGGCACACCTGAAACATATTTCACATGGTCACTGCATGAAATTCTATAGCATACTTACACACTGCCAGATACAACTGTTAATATTTCACTGAAAAATACCCAAGTACATGAGATATTTCTCCGGTTTTATATTTTGATGCTTTATTTATTTTTCAGAACCATAAAATTAACCTTAAGTACTCACTAAATAAGACATTTTTATTGAACTTTCTCACTCCTTCCAAGACTCAGTGAACACTGTGTAAGAGGCAGAATGAATCTACGTGCTAGAAGACGAGAGGATCGCAACCAAATGCTCTCTCCCTGACATGGTACGACCATTGCACCCATGAACTAACAGCAGCTGAGTTACTGCAAAAGATCAAGCCAGTAAAAACTATAGCATAGCCTAGAGGTGGCTCTCCTGGCCCCACCCCTTAATGTAGCACTATTGACACTTGATAGCTTTTGGAGGAGGGAGAATCATTCTTTTTTGAGGGTGTTCCCACTAGTAGTGCCCCGTGCTCCAGCGGATGGCCTCACACCCATGCGTACATGAGCAGCACTGATGGGACTTGGTTATCAAGAAAAGAAAGGCAAAATAAATAAATGCATGCATGCATACATACATACATGAAGTCTGGAGGAGGAAATGCTGGGGGACATATGGGAGAAGTTGGACGGGAGAAATCAGTAGATATGACCATATTTCATTGTATACATGTATGAAATTCTCAAGAATAAAGAAAAATGATAATTTTTAAAATAAAAATGATAAACATTAAAAAACACATCCATTATGCACCTTAAACAAAAAGCAAAGCATGAGCACTCACCTGAATAAGCACTTCAATTTTTCTCAGATCTTTTATTACATCATTCCAATTGGCCTCTGTTTTAGGAAGACCTGCACCGAGGCAGCTGAAAGAAAACAACAAAGCAAGGTGCTTTGAGAAAGAGCATAATACTGTCTTGCTGCATATTCTAAGCCACAGAACAATCAAGATTATTTTTATCCTGACTAGTGTACAGCTCAGTGTTAATCTGCCTCTGTGCATTCAAGAGCCTGGAAGAGGAATAGAAATATAAAATATGCAGTACACCTTGGACACTTTAAGCTAAGTGGAGGATTGGCCTACCTTGAGGATTAAGGAACAGCCAGTTGGAAGCATAATTTGGTTTCTGATGTATGGTAGTGATCAATAAATTTTCCTGAACTGAGTATTAGTTTTCTTTATGTGGAGGTTTCGTTATACTTTTAAGCCTAATAAGAATAAAATCTTGCCAGGCATGGTGACACACACCTTTAATCCAAACACTCAAGGGGCAGAAGCAGGCCAATCTCTGTAAGGTTGAAGTCAGCCCAATCTACATAGTAAGTTAAAGGTCAGTTCAGGGCGACAGGGAGGCGCTGTCTCAAACAGAGAGAGAGGAAAAAAGCTCCTTGTAGAATGCTGAGCCTGCTTCCTTCATGATGCTCACACTGTTCTTGTGCTTGCAGCATCTTTCCTCATAGTCATTGTGGATTTAGCTAAATATGGGAAGAATGGTCATATACTTACACATTTTTATAAAAATTGAAATTTTATATCCAGACAGAAGACACACTGACCAAGTGACTGTAGGATGATTCTTAAAGTGTCAGGAAAAATATTCATTCTCTGATGGGTTTTGAACAAAGTATGGCAGTCAGTGCTAATCTGAACAAATTCATGGTTTCCCATCCACATGAAGGCATTAGTGAATGGAAGTGAACTGGGAGTGAGGTTGTGTCACGATAGGTTTGATATTTTAGGCCAATTTACTGCATTATGGTAGCTGCATGTAAGACAGAAGAACAAATTAATAGACATAAGAAAGCATCATTGTCTATGGGGAGGGAAAAACAAAGTATGTCCAATAAAGGAAATGCTTTAAACCAAATAAAGATTACGGATCAAAGGACAGGAAGAGTCAGGGTCAGAGGGAGAAAATATGTAACATGAGCAAATCCCAAATCACTTTTACTGTTGTGTAAGCCTGCAGGATATCAACGAACTGAATGCTTACAGCAAGAAGCTCAATGTCTTTGTGGAATAACATGCTCATATGGAATGTTGTCAGGATATAACATGCTCAGTTAGGTATTCACCAATCTCCTGAGGGTCTCCAGTCTCCTATCTATCTTATCCCCAACAGTGAAGACCTAGAGATACAAGTACACTGAACACAGAGCAGTTCCATTAAGCAGGCATTCCAGGACAATAATCTTGGCCATTAATGTGATAATATTTCGATTAAAGATGACATTACCCCCAAATGAAGATGTGAATGCCAGCCTCCGTTAAAAAATGACTGTTCAGAAGGAAACACAAGTAGCACGGGATGGAAGTAGTTCTCATATATGGTTTCTGGAAAATGTAAGCATCAATATATCAGTAAAATATCTTTAAGAAGGCATAAAATAGCATTTTATTGTATTTTAGGTCAAAATTGTAGTTATCGTTTCATAGTTAACGTTCTTTATCAGAAAGAGTGACATTTCAATGACTTTTTTTTTTGGTTTTTATCTCATTTTGCTTTGTTATGTTTTCCCTAATCTCCAACTCTCTCTATGCACAAATCCAATGTGTATTTCTCTAGCTTCTGCTCAATTTTGAATGAATGGAGTTTATATACTTAGTGACCGACATATATATTTATACTATCAACCAAATTTTTAATCATCACTGAATTCTTCTAACCCTTCTCTCCTTTTTAAGAGGCAAACACATTTTCTACATCACAGATTTAATAACACAAAGTAATAGCAGGTGTGCTAATTGTATATTAATTTCATGCAACTATACAGAACAAAATATATTACTATCACAGACAGGAAATCTGTATAAAAAGTGAACTAATAAAATTGTATTCTTGGCTAGGTGCAATGATGCATGCCTTTAATCTCAGCTCTCTGGGGACAGCAGAAGGCAAATCTCTGAGTTTAAGGCCAGCTTCGTTTACATAGCAATACCCAAGCCAGCCAGAGCTACAAACTGATTATTTTTCCATTCTCACTGTCCCTATGCAACATTTTTCTTGATGATTTAGAAACGTTTTTGTCTTAGACATTCCCAGTTTTGATTCTTTTAGCTATTTTGTGTTGTCAAAGATTTATAGTTAGAAAACATAGTATCAGTTGTCACCTCACCTACCAAGAGTCTGTGTTTCATTTAGTTTTGCTGCAAGATGAATAACACTAGACCTTATCCTTGGAGACTACACATTTTACTGAGTAGTTAGACATTTAGAGAACACAAGAGAATAGGCTAAGTGAAACAATGCATTTACAGTGACATGAAGAGCATAGCAATACTATTAATGTTGTTTTAAAACACCCATGTTACTTATTTTCAAAATAAAGACAATCTTGAGGAGGACAGGGAACTGAGAATCCCAGGATGTGTACAGAATAATCATGCCACTTACTATGAAATAGCTGAGATTCAAGTGACCTTTTAAAGAAAAGCAATATGTTCTGTGTATCTATTTTTTTCCTTACCAAAATTTTCATTACTTAATGCCCAGGGAAATTCTTAAGTGTTGAAGAAGAGCTGGCTACGGCAGTGGGTTTCCAGCAGCCATCCATCCAGAACACTTCCTAGAACACAACCAGAATAAAGGACAACTATTAAAATCACATCTGGGCAAGTCAGGAGCAGAAAAGAAGGAAACTGATATTTATTGAACATCTACCTTTTAATGGGTACACTTTGCATTCCTGAGTACATCGTCACATTTATTCACCCAATATTCCTCGGGAGTAGTATCATTTGATCCTGCCTCACAGTAATCGCATGACAGCAAGGACTGGAGATGAGGTTTGTCTGATTACAACTACAAAGTCTTTCTATTGTGCTATGTCCCAGATCTAACAGAGTTCAAAGCCTTGTAAGTCAGAATTAGATGCATCCACATACTTAGTGTCATACAATTAGTGACTGGTAATCTAAGTTACATTAACAGCTACATACACAAACATAGACTACATATCCTTGGTGTGGTCTTTGAAGTAATTTAATTGAAAGACTATTTGAGAATTTCCAAAATGTCAAAAGTCTGTTTGTTTCTAATTCAATGGAGTAGAATATGTGTGGAGTACATAACACTCCCATTCAACTCATTTTCCTGAAAATATTCAAAATCAAAACATGTAAAATACCCAGGTATGGTAAAGCACATCTTTAATCCCAGTACCCCAGAAGCAGAGGGAGCCAGGTAGATTTCTGTGAGATCAAAGACAACCTCCAGTACATAAGGAGTTCCAGGCCAGCTGGGACTAGAGGCAGACCCAGTTTCAAAAAACAAATAAACAACAACAAATAAACTAAAACCCATAAAAAAATATAGACACTTTTCAATCCTTTAAAAATGATATTAGTTGACCTCCCCAACAAAAATAAAGATCTGTTGTTTTCTTAATATAAATTAATGTAATTTTCATGAACTTCAATTTTAAATTATTACACTTTTCAGGGTTTTCCCAAAATATAAAAGATGCTATAAATTATGAATTACGTGTACTATATTATTCTTCTCATGTGTGTGTATGCAACTGTATGTGTGTACTGTATATGTGGACATCAAGGCATCTTATGAGAGTTAGTTCTCTTCTCCCACCATGTGGGGTCTAGGCATCAAACTGGACTTCAGGCTCGGCAGCAAGCGCCCTTAACTCCTGAGATATCTTGTCACCCTATATAGGGTATTATTTCTCTCTCTCTCTCTCTCTCTCTCTCTCTCTCTCTCTCTCTCTGTCTGATCTTTTTGAGACAGAGTATCCCTGTAGCCCCAGCTGTCCTAGAACTCACTATATAGACCTGAATGGCCTCAGTGTCACAGAGATCAGCCTGCTTCCTGAGTGCTGGGCTGGAAGATGTGCACCACCATACCTAGCGATAGTATTCCTAAAATAAAAAGCTAACAATTTATGGAGCCATTTAACGAGACAACAATAGGTATATCAAGTCAGAATTTTTGATTGTTAAATATAATCTTCCTGTTACATATATAAATGACTGATCAACTGGTTTATTTAAAGCAATTGCATTGCTTTCTTTATTGCTTTCATTTCATAGCCATTCTCCTCCTCTTGATTATGTTAGTGCTTCAAATTTCTTACAAAGCTTCTTTGTAATTTTATCTAATACTTCTGAAAATCCCTGCAGGCTTTTTAGTTGTCATGTCCCAAACACCACATTACTCAACAAAATAACGTTTATTGACATGAGATTGAACAACATTAACAATGATTTTTTTTTTGGTAGTTTTCAAAGGCCTTAGGAAGCTATCTCAATAAACAATGAATTTTACTCCTGAGCCTTTGCAACAGTGAATCTCCATGATATCACACGACTTTCACTGGCTAGTCCAACTGCCTCCTGGTATTAAAAACAGAAAACTAAGTGCCTTAGCTGGAATGTTCTGAAATAGGCCGTGACTATCAAGCATGAAGTAATGTAATAGGAAATGTCTTCAGGAGCTTCTGCCAATGTAATGACACTGGAAGCCAGTGTAGCTGCAAGGAACATTTTATGGCTTTGAATACCATTTGGCAAAGAACTTGCCATGGCTTTCTCGGCTGAGAACAAAGAACCTGGCTTCGACTGCATTCAAAGTACAACATGCCACAATTCTGTGGACAATCAATTTTCCTAGAAATGCATGTGTCTCTGGAATATACTGAGAAAGAAGTCAGGAGAGCAATCTCATCTGCAAGAGCCTCAAAAATAAATTGGTAAAATACATAGGAATAAACCTAACCAAGGCAGCAAAGGCCTCTACAATAAGAATTTTAGAAACAAGAAATAAAGAAAATAAATAGGAGCAGTAATTAATTCATATATATGGTATATTTCCTGTAAGGTTTTTGAATCCTGCTTCAAGTTTTAATATGTGTTAATGAAAATAAGTCTTTATAGAGTAGTGTCCACATGTGATTCCATGAGAGACTGTTAGCTTACAGGGAAATATGAATTTTAAATCAAGTTTATTATTATTATTGTTCTTTGGCTATATCTATATGCTGTAGTATATTTATTTTTTTCTAAATACTAATACACTTGTTTGTTTGTTTGTTTTAATTTTGAGATAAGGTCTCACTATGTAGTCCCAGCTGGCCTGGAACTCCCTATGTAGACCACCCCAGGTTGGCCTTAATCTCACAGTGATCCATCTGCCTCTGCTTTCTGAGTGCTGAGATTCGAAGTGTGGGCCACCATGCTACCACACCCAGCTAATATACTTAAAAAAAAATTTGAAGAACACAGAAAAAAGAAAGCGAAAATGATACTAGAAGGTAGTATTCATTGGTCAACAAAATGAATATTGTCAACATTGTTACATTACTGAAATCAATTTACATGAACATTGGAATTCCAATAAGATTTAACACAGAAATTAAAAAACTATCCTAAGGTCAAAAACACAAAGCAGGTAATGCAATCCTAAGGAAAGTTAATAATTCTAAAAGTATTATAATATCTGATTTCAAATTATACTACAGAGCCATAGTAACAAAATAGCATGACACTGGCACACAAACACACATACCAGCATGATTCAGAAACAAACCTACACAGCTATATTCAGCTAATTTTCCACAAAATGAAGCAAACACACATTGGAGAGAAGACAGCCTATCACTAAGTGTTGCAACAAAAAAACTATGATATACTCATGTTAAACTTGAAGCTAGTTTCCTGTCTCTCCCTGACACATATCAATTGAAAATACATAAGAAAATCTAAAATAACACCTGAAATTCTGAAACTTTAAGAGGAAAAAGTATTAAAAAATGCTTCAAGATACAGGCATAGACAGGGACTTTCTGAAAAGGCCTCCAAAAGTATTGACTTTCATGGATGTTGTAAATCCAAGAGGACATAGACTGACATGTGTCTATAAATCTCACAATTCATCATGAAACAACAAAAACAAATGAGTAGCTTAAATATTTCTTCTTTGAAAAACACTATTTCTTACAAAGATATATTTTCATATACATATATAAATGAAATAACTTGAAATTCCTGGTAATGGTTAAAATGAGACCAATTGCTAAACTATACAGAATTGTTCCCAAAGCAAACATTATCAATTTAAGTATTAGCTGAGTTGCTAGGTATAAGACAATAAGGTTTTGGGCACCTTAGTTGCCATCACTATCCATTAAACAAATAGTGTCATATAAAATGAATACAAAAAGCACTTTGGAAAGTTTATTATCTAAAATAGACAAAGAACACACACAATTCTCAGGGCAAGTCTAACAAACAGCTTCTTTGAAGCAGCATAGCTCTAAGACTTAACCTTGTGGCCAGGAACAATCAGGGAAATCTCTTTCTCCAGACAGTTTTCTTTTTTTTTTTTTTTTGGTATCTTTGAGACAGGGTCTCCTTGTAACCCCAGCTGGCCTGAAAATTACTATGTAGACCAGGCTAGCCATGAACTCACAGAGATCTGCTTGCCTCTGTCTCCTGAATGCTGGGATTAAAGGCCTGCACCATCATGCCTGGCTTTTCCATACAGTTTTCAAAAATACTTCATTCATTCACATATTAAGGGAAAAGAGATTCTTCCAAGGTAAACTACAGGGAAAAGAAGTTGAAAATTCTGACAAAAGGGCTAAAAATTTAAAAATTACAACATATTGCTTAAAATGAGTTCCAGAAAGACACAGCACATAGAGTGGAAAACATTAAAAAATAAAAAATGAAAAAACTCCTAAAACAAAGCCCTCTAGATAGGCTGACTAGATTCACCAGAAGGGTAAGTAGTGGGGAATGGCTGGGGTGCCAACAACACAGCAGAGAGTAGCAGGGATATCAGAGTATAAGGGCTCTAGTGAGGGGAGAGAGGCTATGGGAGGGTGCCATCTGGGAAGTGGGTGTATAGTTGAATAAGATGATTTGGGATGTTCTGTGTGATACACACACACACACACAAAAAAAAATGAACCAATTTTTAAAAATGTATTATATTTGAGGAGGAATCGTGGAAATTTACATCATGTTAATTAGTAGAGGTGATAAACATTACCATTGAAATCTGCCTGATGACTTTATAGACATACACAGGTGCCAAGGATCCAAGTGCAATCGATTACGACTAGTAATGATCAGATACAT